TACACTATAATATTCTATACCTCTTAATAGGGATTTTCCTTACTTTAGATTCATATATAATTTTAAGGTTTATGCCTTGGTTGGAATTGGTACCACCGACACTGACCAACCCTTATTCTGAATACTTTCTGTGCAAGGTTCAATCTATCAATCTGTTTCTATAAATACCAGTCTTTAACTCAATTATCTCTCGGGTACAGAAATCTCTGAGAGGGGCTTGTATCGTATTGTTTGGAGACCCCATGCTGGGGGTCGTGTATATAAGAAGTCAACTTGGCCTAAATAAAGGAGTTACATTTAACCCTTCACTTAATCTTGGCTATGGTTTGGGTGGACCAGCTATACTCTCTGCAGGAGAGCTTAATCACTTGAAGCTGTACCCAGGACCGTCTTCCAAGACTGGAAGTGACGGAGAGACCCCAGCCAAGCTGCGGCGGATGGGGGATGAAGCACTATGGGTGTCCCGGTGGAGAGCTAGGAATAGAGCTTGACGGAGGTAACCAGCCAGAGTACCAGGCGGTATGTCACATTATATAATTTTGTGTTCAAAGTGCCCCTATCTTTCTTATCTACAGTTGTTTAACTAAAATATATGTGACACTTCTTTATAAGCCATACGTAGACTTTAAATCATATCAAACTCCAGGAAAAATCATGTCCCAGTGAGGAAAACATACCAGGAATTTCACAGAAGAAAATAAAATAAAAATATTGTGGTCACTTACTTCATGCTGACGTTTCAGATAGGCTGTAAAGTGGTGCCCTCTGAGGTATTTAACCTATGTTTTCAACTCCCCCTCCCCCCTTTCCAGCAAGCACAGGGCTGACTTTCTATTTTTTAATTGGCATTTTTGTGGGGGGTTTGGACACTATTTCTTATTATATTGTTATTTTATGCTCTGTTGTTTATGAGGTCTGACTGAATGCTATTTACATGCCATGTCACAATTGTTTAATTAATAAAGATGCACTACTCATGAACTATCTTGTTTGTATATTATGGATTCTAGTGAGTGTGAACCTTTTGGAGCAAGCTGGTGAAACATACATAGACTGTGCTGTTCATTGGAATTTGGAGACCTGCAATTAACCTCTACCTCTGGTGAGTGATCTGGATGAAAAATGAATAAATATCATGATTATGTAAGAGTTAGATTAAACACTGGTCAGTACATGCAAAGTTGGTCAACCCTTATTTGCCAGCTATGATAAATGCAGTGTGACCATAGTTAGTGGGGCAGAGAAGGATACCTTATATCAAATATGTGGAACTGAACAAAACTCATAAACACTTTTTGTATGAGTGATAACACCAATGGCAGCTGGTAAAGTTTTAAGATGGTGGAGCTCATACTCACCCCCCAGGATTTGGCTCCATCCTTTAACTCTATAACCAATATCTTCTAATCCTTGTGTACTCAACCCCTAATGGTAGCCTCCATTCAATAGAGAGTTACCCATACAGTACACAGAGCCAGTCACAATACAGATATACCCATAGAATAAAAAGTACCCAGTACAATAAGGATATACCAATACAATACACAGAGATGAGCTTAATATAGAGATACTCCTACAATTCACACAGCTGGGCACAATACAAAACCCATTAAAAGCACAGAGTGAGGTAGGCTATAGATACATCCATACAACAGGCCGAGCTGATTAAAATACATTAAAATACAATAAGGAGATACCCATAACTATGCCACACAGCTAGGGGCACTGCGATGGACTATATAGAATTGGAATTCAGAGATATCCACACAGTACAATGTCTCTGTATAACACTCCAGCTCTTTATGTCTGACCCTATTGCTCCAGCTCTCTCTTTCTAACCATGTAATCTTTAGTAATGTGCCTGCTATTATTATTATTATTGTTATTATTAGAATCAACATATTCTGCAGCGCTTTATAAATATAAAAATTATGAATAGGGCCCTGCTCAAAGAAGCTTCCAATCTATAAATATTGCAGGTATATATCATTAGATGCCTTGCCCAAGAATCAGGACCCAGGACCTGGGATTCACAGTTTTAAGGCAATGATGTTACCACTATCTATCAAGCTGCTATAGGCAAACATTAGCTTTCTAGCAAATGTTGCTGCTGTTATGAACCATGCAGTAGGATACTCATTTACTCCTTATCACCTTTGCAGATGGAAATTTGATTAATCTGCAGTGTCAATGGAGTCAAGAAGTAGCTGACATTGCTGCTGTTAACAGAAGCAATAATCATTGCAGATTAAAATCAGAATCAGCACAGTCCTCAGAGTGACAGCCCTTGTCCTGCAGCGTCGAGCTTCATGACTCTTCAACTAACCACAGCACGGGTGTCTCAGGTTTTAACTCCAGAGTTACTAAGCACTTTAAAGAAGATTGTGGGCACTGGGCAGCAAGACCTACACTATGCAATATACAGTAGGAGTTATTAATGACATGCTGAAAAACCTTAGCAAAAAAATAAATAAACTAAAAATGACAAGGTTCGTGACATGCAAGATAGCCAGGGGTGTATTAGCCGCGAGGCAAACAAGGCATTTGCCTTGGGCGGCATTTTTCAGGGGGCGGCAAAAAAGCCGCCCCCAAATGCCCAAGGCAAATGCCTTGGCTAACAAACATGCCGAGCAGGCGGCGCTGGGCGGGCGGCCGGCGAGGGAGCTCTTCCCCTGAGCGCTCTGCTCAGCTCCCTCGCGCGCCGCCGAGTGAGGCTGGGAGCCGGAAGATGACATCTTAAACCCGGCTCCCAGCCTCACTCTGCTGGCGGCGCGCGAGGGAGCTGAGCAAAGCGCTCAGGGGAAGAGCTCCCTTGCCAGCCGCCCGCCCAGCCCGGCAGCCACTGGACCCCAGGACCCCAGGGAGAGGAAGAACCCCCCCCAGCATTCCCAAAGGTAAGGAGGCTGGGGGGGTTAAATAAAAAAAAAAACACAAGTAAGTGTGTTAGTGTGTGTGTGTGTGTCTGTTAGTGTGTGTGTGTGTCTGTTAGTGTGTGTGTGTGTTAGTGTGTGTGTGTGTCTGTTAGTGTGTTTGTATGTTAGTGTTAGTGTGTGTGTCTGTTAGTGTGTGTGTATGTTAGTGTTAGTGTGTGTGTCTGTTAGTGTGTGTGTCTGTTAGTGTTAGTGTGTGTGTCTGTTAGTGAGTGTGTGTGTCTGTTAGTGTGTGTGTGAGTCTGTTAGTGTGAGCCTGTTAGTGTGAGGCTCTTAGTGTGAGTCTGTTAGTGTGTGTGTGTCTGTCTGTTAGTGTGTGTGTTTGCCTGTTATTGTGTTTGCCTGTTAGTGTGTGTCTGTTAGTGTGTGTGTGTGTGTGTGTGTGTGTCTGTTAGTGTGTGCGTGTGTCTGTTAGTGAGTGTGTGTTTGCCTGTTAGTGTGTGTGTCTGTTAGTGAGTGAGTGTGTCTGTTAGTGAGTGAGTGTGTGTCTGTTAGTGAGTGTGTGTTTCTGTTAGCTAGTGAATGCTTATCTGTCAGTGAATGTGTGTGTGTGTATTTAGAAGGCGGAGCAGGAGGGAAGGGTTGGGTGGCGGTTGCGCGGGTGGGGGTTGCGTGGGGGGGGGTGCCTGAGTTTTGTCCTGCCTAGGGCAGCACAAAACCAGGATACACCACTGGCCCTGGCATGGACGAGGAACTGTTGCTGCTATGCTCTGTGTGCTTTATCCAAGATGGCTTCTTGCTTCTCTCCATGGTTTCTGTAACCCCAACCCATTGTTCTGTGGTCCAATGATGGCCCCTGACAGAGGGGCCAACAGCATGCCTCGACTCAATGGGAATGACAACCTTAATGTTTAAATGTTGTCACTTTTGGTGTAAATAAAGTTATTGTGAACTGACCTAGTGAATATTTGTTAAACATCTTAAAAGTTGTGAAGCATTTTAAATATATATTAAAGCATTAAGGAGAAAAATGTGATTATGTAGTAGTTATTACAAATATTTTATACAACAGTTCATTTTTATATTTATACTTCAAACAAGTTATTACATGTTCTCACTACGCTATTTTAAAAATACTTCATACAAATGCATACTTGTAAAAATCTATTAGGAATTGTGGATAACCACTAAGGTAAAATTTAGGCCAAACTAGCCAAACTGAAAAGGAAAATAGTCAAGTGCGAGATTTTTAAAAAAACCATATTATCCTAAAATATTCAGTACCCCTTTTGAACAATAACATTTTCATTGTTATTCTATAAATTTTGAATGTTTTGTTATTGAACCAAATTATTAAATTATATGCCAAAAGAGATCACCATTGACACTGATGAGAATATTAATGATTTTATCTTACCTATTTTCGGCTAAAAATTTAAAGTCTATAATAATTTCCTGATAATTCACAATGAATGCATGTTCTCAAACAAAGGGATATTTTGTTCTGCTTTGACTGTTTTGGCCTAAATTTATTTGTGTTTGGTTATCAACTCATAACTTAAAGTTTACTAAATAAGCTCTTTAGACAAACTGGAACCATAAGATGTTACTCAGGAATAAACCTGGTGGACCCCACGTAAGAAGTAAAGCTTTAAAGGGACGCTATAGTCACCCAGACCACTTCAGCTCATGTCGGCGGGGGAGGAGAGGTCACCAGCGCTGAGGGAGCCCGGCGCTGGAATTAGGTAAGCTGCTAAAGGGGTTTTAACCTGTTTTTCTCTTTTGAAAATGATTATGTATGTTAGACCCTGAAATAATTGTTTAAAGAGACAGTCCAAACACCATGAAATTTCAGAAACTTTAACAGTGACTATCCTTGTCATTTTTAGTTTATAAATTTTTTTTGCTAAGGTTTTTCAGCATTAGTATGTACTACATAATATTTTGCATTACATAGTTATGTATGCGTCTGCATTTTTACCCTCATATGGGATTTCTCAGCATTTGCAAGGTTAAAGGTTGCCTTAAGT